TAGCCCACGTGTCCCAACTGCTGCAGACGCCCCAGGAAAGCAGCTAAGATAGATCCAGCAGATCTTTTCCTTTCCTAAAGGCAGTCCCAAAGGTGTGCTCTCGGGCTGCAGAGGCGGCCACTGAAAGCCAAGAAAGCCTGGAAAGGGTCGGGCCCTCCGAGGGGAGTCCTGGGGAAGGTCCAGGGCTGGCAAACCTGCCGTCCTCCAAAGGCGGGAAGAGGAAGCCGTGCTCAGCGGTGCCAGGGCTGCGTGGCGTGAGGAGGAGGTCCTGGGAAGCCAGGGAAGACGACGCGGTAACCAGTTAATCTTGGATGTTACACAGGACTTAGGGCCGCTCTGGCAGCAAGCTCCTCGTGTTCATCACGGGCAGGTCAAGGTGGAGGCAGGATTGCGAGGTGGAGAAAACCGTTTTCCCTCGCTCCTCGCCACTGGGCATTCACCTTCAAATGACATTGGTAAAATGAGACAGCCTGTGGCTCACGGCTGGTGCCAGCGCTGGGGAAAGCAACGCACAGCGCACGTGCCAGAGAGAAGTACATAATGCACAGCGAGATGGACGGATTAAAGGGCACTGGCTGCTCACCGGGAAGCCAAGAAGGAACTTAATCTGCCTTAAAATAAACAAATTCAAAGAGACATTTGCTCCTTTCAGTTTGAGAACGAGACATGTTATTCACACTTACGTCAGCTTTTTTCTCGCTATTTTAAGGTGGTGTGTTTATCTTTTTAAAAAAAAAAAAAAAGCTGGGAGGGAGTCAAATCCAAATGATGGTCAAGAAAGGAATAGTTTACTCTTGGTTGATTGTCTGTAAGTGCCCAGAAGAAACTAATCCTGCGGAGAAGTGAGGCAGAGCTGGGGAATTGCTGGAGCCACTGGAGCGGCACTTGCTCAGCCTGGAGAGGTGACTAAGCCCGGGAAATGAGACCTCTGCGCACCCCGTCACCCTGTCTGTCAGCCTCTTGCATCTGGAGCAGTTACGTTTCAGAACTTTAATGGGTTTGCTGTAAAAATCTACTCATCTGGAACGGATATGTAAAATCTTAGGATAGAATAATGACTTTTATTAAGGAAAAGGACAGAAAACCTCTTGTGGGAAATTGTCTTGGATTTGGAGTCTGAATAAAGTCTGAAGATGTGTTTCGCTTTGTCTGGTCCCGCTGTAGGTAGATATATATGGGGTACTGAAAAGGCAGAAAATACTGAAGAAATGAACAAAGCTGTTCTAAATTCTGAGATCTCTTAGGGCGCCCTAGGCTAAGATTTAGGGAAACAACATACAAAATGAGGTAGCTCGCTATTTTGTATTTAATTCATTTTCTTCAGTTTAAGTGAATTCATTCAACAATAAGCAGAGCTTAGGAGCTTTCTTCAGGGAGAAAAAAATAATTTTTTTAAAATATGAATTCACTTGGTGGTCAAAATTTCTTTTGCTTAGTTGAAAAATTTTTTTGATAATTGTTTTTCAACCGTCTGGCTTTTAAGGAGTTTTTGTAATCAACTTTTAAGGAGTTTTTGTAATTTGCAGACAGTTTTTTTTCCTCGGCATGTGGAAAAAGGTATGTAATTACGTCGACTCAAAATCAAGCGGTTGCTCAGCCTTTGTAAAAGCAATGGATGTTTAAGAGAGACTCGATGCAGAGAACCGTGTTATTGAGTGACTGGCTGGGAACAGTGGCTTGTTTGAAGAAATTCTGAAACAAAGGGCTTTTTAGCTCCAGCTGGAAGGTTCACAGCCCTGCAGCTCGGTTTCCTACAGTTACCTACATAAATCCTCCTTCTCTACGCGTAATTACAGCGTAAGAGTTGATTGGGTTCGCGGGGCACTCTGATTGCTCTCGAGCCGATAGCCCGTTCCCATCTGCGCGTCTGGGCTAAGGTGGTAACTCACTCTGGGACATTTTGTGCTCAGTTTTAAAATAATTTGATAGGCATAGACCGTGAATTACACATGCAAATTATGAGCTTGCATTATTGTTCTGAGTGTTAGCCAAATTTTTTCACTTTTATTGTTTTGCTTGTTACACAGTTGGTGATAAATGATAATAATGCGACATTTTTCAAGGCAAGGAAGTACATCATGTTCAGGCATCAGACCTGTTCTTTTTCTATTTTAGGGGACTAAAAGCACACAAATAGCCCCTTGTCCTCCACCCCCTTTTTCTTTTAAAAAAAACTGTAACTGGAACATCGGGGTAGGATTTAGAAGTATGATAATAACTCATTCCTTGGGCATCCAGTTTGTGTTCCCAAAATGAGTTTTTGATGGACTTCTAATTTTGAGAGTAGAAAAAAATGCTGGACTTCAAAACTCTCCCCCTCCGCCATTGTTTTTACAGCGTGTTCTGCCACGTTTTTCATTTGAACATTTCACGTGAGGTTTGGGGCTGGAATAAGGACTCTGAGGGCTGCCGAGCGCGGGCTGTGGGAGGAGGTGGGTCGGGCAGGAGCGCCGTGGGTCGGGACCCGGCAGGCGGGTGCGGGACTGAGACGCAGCTCTGTTTGGCTCATGCTTTGAGGAGCGATGGGGAAGACAGAGTGACCTTCTTCCTTCCGTGGGCTGTGGCCCGGGGCCTCCTCGCCTCCCCCCGGCGCTCGCACGTGGGGCCGGGGCCGGGGCTGTGCCGGCTCCTCTTCCCATTACTGTGAGCACCGGCGCTGGTGATTCGTGCGGGGATAAAACGTTTTTCCCTTTAAATGCAGTCACCGCTTTTGATTTCAGGTGATTTTGCTTCCATATTAAGACTGCTCTGTTGAGTAATGTTTGTAATTCAACAGATTTATTCAGCAGTTCATGAAAGTTCCTGGGGAACCATTGAAGAATTTCTAAGACTGCATGCAAAACTTTTAAATCCATTTTGCTTCAAAATAAGTTTCTCCATATGGCACCAGTGCTTTGTGTACATTTTTGGTATCTTTATCCTTTTTATCTTTCTCATTAAACATGCATGTGTTAAGGGTTTCTCTAATCTAATCCAGTGGTGTTTTTCACCCTTCAAATCCCGTTGGTGGTTCTGTAGTTATCACCACAGGACCGTCTGATGAATCTCGCTTCAGAGAGGGGAACAGGCAACTGGAGGAGACAAAGTGGTAATGGATGAAAACAGTCCTGCCGTCTTACAGAAGTTGCATGCCATTTATTAATTGATTTAAGAAAAGCTTAAAAAAAAAAAAAAGAAGTGTCTTTGCATGTGGTTCCCAGTCTCCGTGTGCCCGAGGAGCCGGTGTTTTCTGATGGTCACGCTGAGGGCACGGTGACCTCTGCGGCTGAATCCTAGCTGAGCGCGGGGCGCGCTCCGACGGTGGAAGCGATGCTCTGTGTCCCGGCTGCGAGGACACGCGGGCTGACATCTCTGGGAGAGACGCAGGCTGATGAGGCCCGGGGGTTACGGCACGGGCACGGAGAGCCGCAGCGCGGGCTGCGCACCGGCAGCCACCCAAAGTCCTGTGTGGACAGGAGAGCCGCGGGTGACGGTGACAGACCGTATGGCTGCGCGGGAGCAGCCCAGCGTCGCGCTCTTCTGCTGGCTGCCTGCCGTCGGCAGTTTGCCCGGGGCTCTCTGAACGCCCTGAGCCTCGCCGGCCGCCCGATGACAGTATTTGGGTTTAAATTCTTTCTTCTCGTGTCTGAATTATTATTTTCTATCTAATGATGCAATACGTTATGAATATTAAGTGTTTTGGTTAACTTCTGACTCCTGTTCTTGAAAATCAGTCTGCCGTCTTCTAACAAACAGGGGAATAATTCTGTTGTAAAACCTTTTAAGTAAATCCGAGAGTACTGGTATCCAGCTGCTGTGCCATGGTTTACACTAAAATCTCTGAACTGTTTGTGTAACGCAGTTTGTTATGCAATTCCTGCAATAACGTACAGACTGTTGGAGCTGCCGGGCGTCTTCTTGAAAGATAGTTTCCAGAAAACAACGTTTTCCAGCGTGTTAGTTGATTTCTGCAAGCCCTGCAATTTGGCATATACTTGAGAGCTTTGCAGTGGTTTGTATCAAGGAGCCTGAACGTGCCGTAGAAGTTATTTAGCAGTAATTGACCGGGGTATTGTGTTTGCTTAATTTTTATTGAAATTTGACAAAATTTTCTTCTTATTTATAGTGTAAGCTGAAGACATCTGTATAGTTTGGTTTTTTTAAACTTCGAGCATGGGAAGAGGTCTGACATACATCACTGAGCTCATGCTTGTGTTCATATACATGTGTGCACATATCTACACGCACCGGTTCTTCCCATGTTGATGCAGTAGTGACAGTTGTATTTACTGATGCGCTGATTTAAGCAGCCTCTGTGACTGCTGTAAAATCCACAGGTGCTGAAGGTTGTTCTGCCCCTGTGCGGCGTATGCTTTCGTCTGCGTTCCAGAGAGTGCCTCTTCCTCGGGAGGTTTGAGAAGGAAAACTTCCTTCAGGCAGCGCAAAAGGCGCCGCCTCTGTTCGTGTGGGGGGTTGCTGCGGTGGTGGCAAAGCGCAGTTCGCTCGGCTCTCGGCTGGGCGTGCTGACAGTCGCGGCAGTTTGGATTTTTCTTACTAATGATTTCTATGTTAAGGTTTTTTCTTTGATGTTGATTCTTTTTTTTTTTTTTTTATTATGGTCAAAATGTAAGCTTACACCTAAGCTTTGAGTTTTGAGTTTGAAAGCACCTTTACTCTTTGAAAGGTTGTACTTTACCCGCCGAAGTATCTTGCAAATCCTCTCCAGAGAAATTGTCTGCTGTCTGTGAATATAAAGGTATTTTAGCTACCAACAAGCAGGCACGAACAGAGAGAACTGTATATTAAATAATGCAAATGAGAGCCCATAATAACTCAGAAAATTACGTGATGTAGAGCCAGAACTTTCTGGACTGTGCTGTTGGTTGAAATGACTTCTCGTTGCCCGTGCAGCGTGGAGGGGGCTGTCTCGCCTGCGGATTCCACTGCCTTTGCTAAGTAGAGCCCTCCTTTGCTGTAGGAGTTGCTGAAATAATTTACATCAGTTTTATTTTCCCCTTCAGCTCCAGTTCAGACATTTTGAGGGATCTGCAAGGGCCTGAGACGTGTTCGACATCTTCTGACAAGTAAGTAGAATATATGGGTGGGAAAGTCCAAGTCCTTGTGACTGGTTTAGGTCAGTAGTTCCCGGTTTGTGGAATCTCACGCATTTTCTGCAGGAGGGGCAAATGTCTCTACGAAGTCAGGTTCTCCGGGAATCTCCACAGTTGCAGGAGATACAATTTGGTCAGTCTTTTTGGATCCTTGGAAAATAATACCTAGGTGTCCCAAGTATCTAGTTGAAAATCATTCTTCTAATCAAACTGGTTTTTATGGAAAATTAAGACAATCTGATCTTTGATTGTATTTAAAGTTACACTGTTTAAGTCTCAGGTGTATCTCTGCCGAGTTGAACATGCTGGAATCGCAGCATCTTTTTGGACTTAACTTCAGTTTGAAGAGAGAAGAGGACTGTCTAGTTTTTAAAATCTTAACATCTTATTTCTTAAAACCAAAAATCCCCTTCTATTATCTAGCGGTAATACTTAAAATTTGGGTCTAGCTGTACAAGGTGGTGTACAAAGACATACTAAGAAACCATCCAATGATCCCTGCAGTAACCCAGTGACATACAGGAAGACGGAGAGGAAAAACAGGAATGTATGGGGGCGTTGCAGGTGCGTGGTTGTAGTGAAATTTGGAATAGTGTAGTTTCCAGCTGAAAAGTTTTGTAGTCATTATACAAAGAAACGGGAATGAAGGTTGGTGGATCCTGCAAAAGCAGCGCAGTCCACCCTTGCAGCTGGAGCTGGCTTGATCTGGGATCTCTTGGAATATCACGGCCACTTTGGCACTTGGTCTTAGGGGCGCGGTAAGAACCATATTGCATTTAATTCTCTCAGTCTGCTCTTTAAAGAGTATTTATGACACAATTTTCTCTATTATCCATTACATATGTATGTGGTCAATAGATTGTGACAGCTCTTAAAATTCGTGATTAAGGACAGAGGTAACATTTGGAACTCTCTTAAAATGTGTGTTTAGATAATCTAATGGATTTTAAGGAACTTTAATGGAAGCGCTGATAAGGCCTTGGCTCCAGTGGCGTCAGAGGTCCATGTTAGAGTACACCGCTGGAAAAACAGAAAGGAATGATAATGCCTTTCTTGTAGAGAGAGGCGTCACTTCGGGAAGATGTGCACAAGCGCACTTTATTTTGCAGTACCTGCAAGCGACTCGTTGAGACGGGCAGTAAAGTATAGAATACTGGGGTGTACAGATTGCAGATGCTCGTCTCCGTTCCCCTGGTGACGATCTTCTGGTGCTGCAGCCGTGTGCCAAAGCGTACGCAGCCGCGGCTGTCTTTCACTGATGTTTTTAGATCTGCTGCAAGGTTTGTGTTTGACCCTGGGAAACAGGTGAGGGATCATCCTTGGGAACCACCTCACTGCGTAACGATCGATTACCTGTGAGGTATATCATCAGCATTTTCTATTAGAATTTATTGCAGCCTCTTTTATTGAAGGAAACTTGGGTTTGGAGATTCTGTGCTTCCCGTGGGCGGACATCTAACATACTTCTGATGAGATTTTAATTGTCTGCGTAATGCCTGGAGTATATGGCTTCTACTTACTACATCTAATTTTAATTTTGTAGGTAGTAGCTATTGTACCATATGTGTTAAAAACATCCAGTTTAAAAGTATTTTTGAGAACTGTTGCAGAAGTGAACGGCAGGGCTAACAGGCTCACCTTCCAGTCCTATTTTCCTTATCTTTGGAGACTGCCATCTCCAAGCTTGCAGATGGTGGACTGTAGTTTCTTTATCAGCAGACAGTGACTTGCAATATTTTGGTGATGGTACAATTAAAATTATTGTCTATTTTTTTTTTGTGCTCCCTGAACTCCATTCTGGAGATGCCAACTGGCAGAATCGTTTTCTGCGGTACAGGAGATAATACGCTGTGGCGTAAGGGTTTGGCATCTGTGGCTCCTTGCATGAGTTGGAAAAACATGTTCCTTAGTGGAAGAAGAAATGGGAATGTCAATAATGAAAACAGCTCTAGAGTGTGTTAATGGAGCGTTTCTCCCTAGCAGTAATGGATGTTAACATTAGTTATGATAGGTATCCATAGCAAAATCGTTTGTGCCTTTGATAATTTCCTTCACCCAGGAAACTTCTGAGTCATTTGTTTAAGTTGAGCAGTAGTAAGGTTTGACTGGGTTGGTAAGCACAGAATAATGTTACATAAAGCAGATCTACAGCTTTGATGACAGTTATTCTTTCTGTTCCTTGCAGACCCGTGTCCTGCAGGATGCTGAGCGACACGGCAGGGAGCAAATGAGGGCTTTGCTTTGGCACACTGAGCATGGGAAGGCACGGGAGCGTACCAAAGGACAGACAGATGGGAGATCTCAGAACCAGCCCAGAGTTGATAAACGCTGAGTTATGCCAGAAAGATATCATGTCCCTCACTTTATTCTTATAGAAGTTAATAATCAGATATTTGCAAAGCGAGAGAAACCAAGTGATATAGAAACTCCACTTTTTGGCTTTGTGTTTTAGTATACTTTTGAACATAAGGTGATTACCATTCTGCTGTGGACAAATGTAGGCATCAAAGTTAGAAATGGGTAGAATATAAAACAGTAAAGCTACCCTTAAACTAAATGAGATTTCTGCTTCATTCTGTGTCTTAAGTAATTTGTTTGTGCGAGGGTAGTTGTATGTCGCAAGTTCTCGAAAACAAACAAAGGACGAAAAGCAGGGGGAGGTGCACCTGCTGAGGGATGCGCTGGGTGAAGTGACACATGAGCAAAACTGGTAGTTTGAATATTGTTGCCTTTGCCCTGTGTGGTGTTACAGTTCAGCCATCCGGATACTTAAGCTATTGGCTTCGAGTGACACCGCTGTCTTGCCTCTGCAGTGTATTAAACATTTGCCAGTGGGTGAGTATGATCAGAAGTGACGTTTTTCCGTGTAGAACAAAAACCTGTAGCTAATGGCCAACTTGAATTCCTGTACCGGATACGCCTTTCCATTAGCTGTTCGAGGGCACAAATGGAGCAGTGTAGGGATATTTTAGTGGCAGTTTGGAGCATATTTCTAGCAAAACTTCATTCCTTTCCCGCAGTTTACTTAAGCACAATTTCAGTGCTCTCTGAGCTTCCAGAAGGAACTTCTCTCTTGCTTTTCTCATCTGTGGTTAAGTAACAAATCCACTCGCTGTGGAGTAATGCTGTTGGGACGCCGTAAGTTGGTGTTACTCTGTCCCTGATGAGGCTGAGGCAGCATTTCAGGCTCTCGGTAACCTCTTTGTGGGCGCTTACTGAAAGTCTCACAGTGCTCTGATGCGGATGTCAAATAGGTCGTTGAGGATGCCACCTTAACTGCAGGTTTGGGTCAGTTCTTTGGGCAGTACCAGATCTGAATGCCTAAAAATTAATGTAGTATTTGACGAAAGGCTTCCATAGTGACTTTGCCATTCAATCATAGGTCAGTTTCACTCCTAAGTACAGTTGAAGCTTTTCTGTAGAGCTTTTAATGAAATTCCCAAAATGATACCTGGTGGGTATATTTCCTATGTGACTTTGTTGTGTGCCAAAAATAAAAACAAAAAAAACCCCAAAAAGGACTTTTTAATTTTTGTGAAAAGGACAACCAGTCATTAGTTGTGCAGTGTCGCAATCCAGGGTCCCTGCCTACCTCCTCCTTGTTGGGAGAAATAAGTCCCCCTCCCCCTAAGGTGAGGCACACTGCTAGAAATGCCATCGCAACGTGTCTGTTCCGGACTTGACCTGAGATGGGGAGAAGTGACTGCGTAGTATGGAGTCAGGATCTTCTTATCCCTGGGCGAGCAAACCTCATTATTACAAAGTGCACCATGAGCTGTGGGAGGGGATCTGTCTTACAAAGTACTGACATTTGCACATTTCTGTAGAAGGTCAAGTACATTTGCTCTGCGTTTATGATATTGGTGGCACTATGCCACGCGACCAGTGGCTCAAAGTCTAAGAGCACAAAAATGTTCTTACCCTAATTAAAATGAAAGTATACCAAAGTTGAATCTATTTTAAACCCCCTGAAGTAATCACTCTTATGTCCGTACTGCGCAAGGAGATGTGTGTGGAGAGGCCCTGGGGCTCCCCGCAGCTTCCTGACTTGCAGGGCCCCTCGCGGCGGTGGCCCCTTGCCACACAGCTCTGCAGCTGGTGCCTTCCCCTTGCACGGGAGCATCCCGGTCGGGTTTGGGCGCTCCCTGCGCGGTACCAGAACCTCTGCAGCAGGTACCAAGGACCCCCGAGTCCCCCGGAGTACCCACCTCTGCGTGTGCGTGCTCAGACCTTCTGAAACGCCTGACAGTGCTGTGCGGAGTTTGGAAGACTTCTGGATACTGCCTCAATTCTTAAACAGAAAGCTTTCAGATATGGATCAGAACGCATTCATTTCTGTCCTAGTTCAGCACGCCTTCTCAGCCAAGCCGTGTAGAGATGTTTTTTCCACACGCTTTTAAAATATTCCACCATAAACCAGTTTGGAGTTGAATGGTCCTTCGCTTTGCTGTAGTTAGAGTTATTAAAATAGGCAGCTTCCTTTTTCTTTGGGTGAAGAACATACCTAACTCAATCAAAATCACCTTTAACTCTTAATTTTCTGGAGACCATTCAAGCGGCAGTCCCACAGCAACACCCTGTGTATGAAACCAGGGTGGCTGTAGGAAGGCGCTTGATCCGCAATGGCTGACGCGCGGCGTTTGGAAGAATGCGTTTACTGCAGCCCTGTCTGGCTCCACAGACCGACCCTTCAGCCCTTCCAACCGAGTCCCTGTTGTGGTCTCCGCCTCCCAGTCCGAGCTGGATACGTACACCCGGTCCATTGCCTGGTTTTCCCCATGGACCACAGTAGTTGATTAGTCTGTGCTGTTGGCGACTTAAGTTTCATTGATAGAGTTTCATTTATAGGCAGACAAGTAGTTGTAAATTCAAGTTCAGAAACAGAGTAAGGTTTTAATCCTTCAAATATAAATTAAGCTCCTGGTTCTGAGCAAGCTGCTTTGTGCAGGTAAGTGTTAATAGGTGAGGCAGAAAAATTTGAATCGCATGTGACCCGCTCTTGGCGAGAGTTACATGTCCGAGTAGCTCTGTTGACTTCAGCGTGTCGCTGGCATGTAGGATTACACAGATGCCTCTGACTTTGCAGGTTGTTGGGCTGATAAGCATTTAGTATTAGACTGACACAGACCCGGAGTTTGGAAATTGCCTTATTAAACAAAGCCTGCAGGCAGCAATTGCTGGTTTAACGCATTTCTGTGTCTGCAGATGACAGGATCCCTCTGGTTGGTGATGTTTTGGGGAGAAATGCAAATCTCCGAATCATACTTTTGTGAATGTGATTACGTGTTTTGTAATCAACAGAGACTTTTTTAGCAAATTCTGTTTTTTTTCTCGTGTTCCCTTTATGCTTCGGGAGAGGGAGCAGAGTCCCAGGGCTGCCCCTGTCTCCCTTCCACGGGGAGCGGTGGAGGACCTGCCTGCGCCAGCAGGAAATAATTGATTAATTCCTTATTTAATTTGATGTTAATTTTTTTCTAATGTTTGCATCCTATTTAAGTTCAGCGAAACAAAGGTAGAAAATGTGAGATATGTCATTACAGAACAAAATCTGGGTATAACAAAAGGTCAGTCGAAAGTGGTATCTGTAAGGTCGTCTATAAAGTGGATGAAATACTTATAAATAGAGGCAGGATTGTAAAAGTATTTATGGAAGTAAAAATAAAAATCTGTTGTCCTCGAGCACTTTAGGCTCAAGTAAATGTAATTATTGTCAGCGGGATATGTGGTGTGAGATGAAGGCTGCCACAGAGTTTACTTTGCCATCATAAGCTACAAGGACATTTGGAAATACTTTGAGATAATATTCTCTGGATTTAAATAGATCATCAAGTTTAGGTTTTTATTTACTGGAGGAGAGAGAGCACTGATCTGGGGCAGAGGACAGTGCTGTGCCAAAGCAAACGCAAACCAGTACAGACTGCGACTCTGCCTTTCCCTCCGCAGCACCAGAACGCACCGTACGAACCCGCCGGGGCCCGGGGCACTTGGCTGCGAGGGCCGGGGCTGTGCGGCGCTGCCCGGTGCGCCTGCTGCGGCTCCCGGTGCGCTGGTGGC